TTCCAGTGTGCACACCCACTTGGTTTCTTTGCAGTACATATGTTTCAGTAACACTACTAGAATAAGTAACTTCCCCGCCAAAAAATGGTTACATCCAATGCATCAAATAATGGAAAATGCTGATTAAATGCTGAATAATGCTGATCTAATGCTAATTCAATAAATTTTTAATCACCTGTTGCTCTAAATGTAATCAATTTCCCATGTGAACATCACTTTATCAAAGTACTTTGTGTTGTCAGTGTATGCATACATCCTGGGACATCATTTGATAGTTTGTATTTTCATCTATCAATGATGGATGAAACAGATCAATGTGATCATTCACCTATCTTTCTGTCTTCTCCCAAATGTGCTTTGTGTGGAATGATTTGAAGAACTTGCAAATCATGATTGTGAAAACCAATTCTTGTAATCAAAAGTAGAAATCTACATTAAAATTGAAAGGTATTTATTATGACAATGAGTTGGATAAAACAATTATAGAAAAACACTAGCGGTGTACAAACCTACGACCCAACTTGAAAACCCATGAGAAAAACCCATGAAAACCCAACTTCTTTTTGGGTTTTTTTCATGGGTTTTTTCTGATGGGTTGAAATTGGGTAAATCTGATCACCCGTTTGTTGAAAAAAAAATAGTTGAGTTCGATATGGACTCAACTACCCCTTCCTTGCCGACGCAAGATGTCCAAACTGTCCAAACCCTTCCCCAAAACAGTCCCACTTCCACACCAACTCCGTCTCTGTCGAACTCTGTTCAGAACCCTTCAAGTTCTTTTGGCGCAAACACAGCGGAATCCAGCCCTAATTCCACTTCAACCCCTTTCGTCATCCCAACTCTTTCACCAGCAGATTGGGCACGTCTTCAACAAGTCATCAACTCATCTGATCCACCAGCCAACCAGCCTACACCTTCCATTTCTATCATGGATCCTTCTGACCCACCTAAGAAGCCACGAGGTCGACCTCGAAAAACGCCAGCACCACCTTCTCAGAAGCCTCCCCGAAAATCAAAAGCCAAGCAAGTGTCTCCACCCCAGTCTGATACTCAGAACGATACGACACTAGATTCTCAAGATAATACTCAGAATGATCATGATGAAGACTCAGATGTCACCAAGCGTCGAAAATGCTGGTTCACCCCTGAAAGCGATGGTAAATCGGACATCGACCTCATTGCTGAATGGTGCAGTAATTTTGAGAACTACAACGAATGGCGAACACAACAGAAGAGTGTTGTTCGTGATTGAGTTGCTGCTTTCCTTGTTTCACAGGGGCATGCAGACAGAGGAGGGCGTGAGTGTGAAAAAAAGGTAAGTCTGCTGCCTTTATGTAGCTTTTTCGATCTGTCTTAACTTTTCATTTGGATATGTAGATTGGAACGCTTGTGCAGTGGTTCCACGACGCAAATAAACTCCGAACCGCGACAGGGGAAGGCAATCAAGATGCTGATGTCGAGTTCAACGTGTCAAAGGAGGAGCTCGCGGCATTCAAATGGAATAAGAGGAGAGTAAAGAAAGGCGAAGAAGAAGAAGGGGGAAGTCTTGAAGGTAAGTGTGTCTGTGAATCCTTGTTTCATTCAGACTGACCAAGTACCTTTGTACAATAGTCAGAATACTACGTAGATGCCCATGGTACGAGGAGCTGGAGCCTGTACTCCGAGATAGACCATCTGCTAGCCCTTTAGCCTCTAGAGACTCGATAGGCGACCAAGTAGAAGGTTCAACTTCGATGTTGAACAAAGACGAACAACTTCAAAGCCCTATCGAAGACACTTTGCCTGACACGTGGGAAGATACACCACCACGCCATCAGCTTGAAGACATTCTTCCAGCGTCCCAAGAATCTGCCCCATCCAGCCTTCCTCAAGCCTCTCAAACCACCAAACATTCTCGTCCGGTCACCCCTAGTAATCCACCTAGCAAGCGTATCCGAGGGAATACTAAAGATATTCCTTTCTCTATTGGCACCAAAGAGTCACCTAATTACTCTTCTGATTTTATGTCTGCACTGAATCGCCTCCCCACCAAAGAAGATCGAGAAGCGAGCGAAGCTCGCGCTAATGAATCCCAAGAGCGAATTAGCACCAACTTCACCAAGGAGATGTCTAACATGATGAAGAGTAGTCGAGCTACAGAACTGGCCTCAAAAGAAAACGTCGAAATCTCCAAACTGAATGTCGAGCTGCGAATTGCTCGTGGGAAGATGGTGGTGGACTTAATCCGAGACAACGTAGACCCAGCGATGGCTGAGGCCTTGGCTTTGCGTGCGATACCAGATGTCAAGCCATCTCAAACATCCATACCTGATGCCGAGCCCTCTGGAACAGCCTCTCGATCTGACTAACCTCTCTACATCAAAGGAATAACACGATCGATTCAATTTTTTCATGTCCATGTCCTGCTATTGATCTTGAACTCAACATAAAACATTAAATTTAGGAAATTCAAACAAGGGCTGTATCTGTTATATGCGGCTTCGCTATCTGATGTATGGTGGGTTAAAACAATTATAAATTTTATAATATAAAGTTGTATGTCTCTTATTATCAAAAGTAAACTGTGCGTTTTGCAATTGATTTCTCTTTGAGTGTTTGGCTCAAAAATTAAAAAGTTGTTTTAAATTGAAAAAAAAGGATGCTGTGTGTTTTGTGATCGATTTCTCTTTGAGTCTTTGGCTCAAAAATTCGAAAGTTGTTTTAAAATTTAAAAAAGGATGTGTTTTGTTATATGTTTCTCTCTGGCTGTTCGCTTGGTTTCAAACTCTTCAAAATGCAAAAATTGAAACTGATTTTGCTTCAAAAGAAATCAGGACTTCATTCACTTGCATCATTTTGATGAGACCTATAAGAGTAAGATATCATTTGATTACAAAAAAGATATCCATCAAATCACAAAGAACTCCTCTAAATGAACTTGACAATCTTTGAGTATACAACCGTGTAGAACTTCTTAAAGAACTTTGAGATACAAATCAAACATAACCTTTATCGGTACAGAAAGCACGAAACAAACAATTGCGGCGTGAATTGCCCAAAGAGTCCAAATAAGCAAGCCTTTGGGCTTGGGTTGCAGTGTCGTCCATCGCTTCCGAGTTACTGGTTGTGGAGATTCCAAACATCGCCGAACCATCCACAATGAGGAAGTTGTGGATGACGACACATGCGGAAATCCAGTCACATACATATTGGGCATCTTTCGAGTTGCCCATCGATAGTCGCAGCTCGTGAAGGGACCCGAATCGCATCTGTAACATTCCATTGCAATGTTCTGATGTGATTCGGATTTTGGAAATCGAGCTGTTGAAGTGAGTTTGGGCAGCTGAAAGCGGGCCAGATCGCGATTGTTTGAATACTGGGACGATGTTTTCCACCGAAGCATAGCCAGAATCGGCAACGATGTACTCTCCCTCTGAAAAGAAAGACGAGATTTCCTGATAGAACTAAAGCATAGAGAATCAGGTCGGATGCAGAGAAGAAGATTCAATTGAGGAAAATGACTTACTCGAGTTGACTTCAACACTCGTTGATCGTGGGCACTACCACACCAACCATGGTGAGCGTACAGTATCTTTCGATTATCATCACATATTATTAATGAGTTCAAAGCATAGATTGACTTCCGGGTGTAGTAATCCTCCTTGTTTTTGGAGGGAGCGTAGGCTAAAGGTACTAAGGTTCCATCGATAAAACCGATGCAATCTTTGAACCAAGAAGTTGTACCGATATGTTGCTTGATTACAGCTCGTTCATGGGCATTTGGCCATCGTACAAATTCTGGCTCAAGCTCGAGAATAGCGTGGATACAGCGTTTCGTATAATTTTCAACACTTCCCTCTTGCCAAAATCAAGAACCAAGCGTCAGTCCTAAATCATTCGAGATCGTTACAGCAGAAAGTTCCTGCATACCTGACACGTAAAATGTCTTTGCCTTCATACTACATGATCCTCCATTTCCGTATAAGCCTAAATTAGCCATAGCCACTAACAGCTGCCACTGGACCGGTGCCTGATTGCAAGACGAGTTATTGTGAAAGATAGGACACCATCCGATTCGGTGGAGAAGCTTGGTAAAGGCATCCTTCGACATGCGTGCCTAACACAGTTTGAAAAGGAAGATGATCAGATTTTAAAATCACAGAGATGTATATACTTAACTCGAGCTTACAGCCATGAACCATGTGCGATCAGTCTCATCAAACCAAGATTGAAAAGCTCGAGCCTTCTCACTAATACGAGGCCGGCGAAGTCTAGGTAGTGGGTATCTTCTCCTTTTGGCTTCTTCCCGTATCATCAATAGCACTCCTAAAATTGATTCTTCCTCTTCTAATCTTCGCTTCTGTCGTTGGATGTAGGCACGCTGGTTCATAGATGATATCATCATGACTGTGTAAGCAAAAATGATAAGTCGTTCTTCAAATCCAATATTATCGTCTGGATTGCTGTCGTCGTCAGATTTCATGAAGGACACCATTACCAGACAAGCAATTGAAGTTTGAAGGAAACTGGAGTTAGTGGAGTTAGTGGTTGTGGTGACAAGAAGAGATATGTGAAGTAAGATTAAAGCGTTGAGTGACGACAGGAGCTGCCTACGGCCTGAGACTCTGGGCATGTTTCAGGATGTGATGGGTGTTGGGGCATTCAAACCAGTCCGGGGTGACCCAACTTGAAAACCCATGAAAAAAACCCAAAAAGAAGTTGGGTTTTCATGGGTTTTTCTCATGGGTTTTCAAGTTGGGTCGTAGGTTTGTACACCGCTACTATTGTAAACATGAAAACAATTTATTTCAAAGTCTATCAAAGATACTATTGAATTTGAGATGAATTGTATTGGAAGGGAAAATCAAGTTTCAAACTTTCATTAAGCACTTTAAATCTACATCATCAAAATCATAACTATCTGTACTACCTTTTCCTGAATCTTCAAAATCTTACAATGCTTCTACTACATTTGAATGGTTTGTTTCATTATAAAATTTGAAAATAGATTGATTTTTTTCTCAAGTTTGAATAGGGTTAGATTCAATATGAAATCTTGAATGTGATTGATTCTTAAGTGAAATAGTACTTTGAGATCTAGTGGTTAAAGTTAAAAACATTCTATCTGATTCATTATCACTGAATTTCTCACTAAAATCAAATTCGGAATTATAATCTTTGATTCTTTTGGCTTCACGTTTACCAGCACGAACTTGAAGGCAATGAATGACTGTGAGAATCTATTTTTATAATTTCAAAACAATCAATTTGAAAAACACGATTTACTCAGTCAGTCTAATGGGATAAAAGAAAATTGGTTCAAGTCTGAATGGAAACCTCAAGACGTTACTCACGGTAAAAAATATGCCAAGTACACCCATCACACAAGCAATAACGATCCCTGCAGAACCAGGTTGGTAGTATTGAGCTCCCATGATGTTAGGAGGTGGACCAGATGAGTTTTGGTTTCCAGTTGTAGGGGTAGCCAAAGGTTTTGATAAAGATGTGATCGTAGCTCGAAAGCTGGAGAGAGTGTTAGTGGATGCATTGACTGAATGAGTAAAGCTGTGAAGATCAGAATTCAAAAATTCGCCTGAAGTGATGAAAGTTGAAGGAGCTGGAGTGGGAAGGGAATGAGGCGATGGACTAGTAATGGTGTGCGTTCCTTTAGGATTCGTGTTTGATGGACTATAATTTCCTGGTAGTCTTGAATGAATCACTTCAAAAGGATGTGAAATACGATCAGGATTGGCTGTCATGGTAAATGATCCTGAGAAGTGGAGGGACGATGCTATCGACTTCGAAGTTCCAATCAAGCTTGAGCTAAGTATAAAAGGAAATCATGCAGTATGAAGAAACTGTGAGGTACATGGTACTGAATCGTGGTGGAAGGAGCTAGCTGCTCTGGTAAGCGTAGACTTGAGCTAGATAGATCAAGTAGGTAAATCAAACGAAAAAATCCTCCAAAGAAGTGTTGTATTTGAAACCATACCCGTTCCCAATATGTGCATTTGGTATTTTCATCGTTCCCAATCAGTTAACATGTTCGCAGAACATTACCAAATTATGAGTCATGTTATGGAACAATCTAACTTAACTAAGTCCCTCCGAGGCTCGACACCTGTCAATCAACAAGTTGAATCAGGATGTCTTCACCGGAGGGACTTACATGTAAACTCGACTTTTTGGCCTGAGGGGTAAGGATTTCTTTGCAGAGGAATTCTTGAATGTCTCTTCCCCATGAGCATACCGGGGTTTTTTTTACCGCGCTTCACTGAGATATGCGTTAACACTCCCTGCAAAGTGTACAAGTCAAATGATCCAATTTCCTTGGTTGCTCACCGAGCTACATAATTTGCTATTTTGTGATTTTCACCGGTAGCTCACATGTAGCTCTGTTAAGTCAAGGACTTATTTCCAAGAACCACCCAGCTACATGCAAGCTACATGTGAGCTACATGCGAAAATGTCAAAATAGAAAAATATGTAGCTCAGTGAGCAACCGAGGATCTCGATGATTCTACTTGTACATTATGCAGCAAGGGTCAATGCCTATGCTCACAATGCGCGGTAAAAAGATCGTTGGTGAGCTCACAGAAAAGGGGAAAACAAGAATCCCCCTGCAAAGAAATCCTTACCCCTCAGGCCAAAAAGTCGAGTTTACATGTAAGTCCCTCCGGTGAAGACATCCTGATTCAACTTGTTGATTGACAGGTGTCGAGCCTCGGAGGGACTTAGTTAAGTTAGTGGAACAATCTACGTTCGCCATTTTCATATTTTCAAATACTTACTTTTGTTTATTGAAAGTCGCGCTCTGTTTGGTGCTGTGTGTTTTCTCTTTTTGAATTTCTTTCGTCAAAGTTATTTCACTTTATATCTTTTTGGTTCTTTTTATCTCTCTAGACACTTAAATTGTTTTACTATAAATCACATAGCAACCTTTGGATCACCGCGACACCCATCTCGTAGATAGTAATTAACATCAGGAGGTGACGGCGAGCTAGCTAAAGCTTAAAGTTGAATGATCTATGAATGATTGAAGTGTAAAATGTCAATTTAGGAATCTCCTATAGTCTTGTGTTGTGTTGCTATCAACGAGTACAAACCTGTGTTGATCTTGTTTAGATATTGCTCATGTCTTACTAAATCTTACAATTTCTTTGTGTACTAATTTTTTTGTTTATTTGTTTTGCTCCCATTTGTGTTGTTTGTGTTGCTGCATTAAAGACACTTAGCTCTCAAATTTTCACAAGAATAATAAATTCAATCATTGGAATGGACGTGTGAGTTGAAGGTGGTACTAGTTGGTAGCGCGTAAAGGCGAGGAATTGATTGGGTTTAGTCCATCTCTAAAGTACACCCTAAACTCATGAAATCCTAATGGGGACATCATGATCTCCTACCTTTATTTTCCTGGAGCTTGATAAGCTTTAATGAGATTACCATCATCCCTGTTAGTATTATTAGAAAACCATCAAATCAGCTCATCCGTTACAAAGATGATCTTCCTGACTTAGTGAAGTTCAAATCAAAAAATGGAGAATAAAAAGGCCCCCTTCTCTCTGACATGCCCGCTGGCTAGATAAAGATCTATTTAGTCAAGCTGATGATTCAATGACGAGAAAAATCTTAATATCACGAGCCACACCACAGTCAAAAAGACGCGCAACATTTCCTGCCACAAGAATAGGCATGGAACATAAGCCTGATCTTCATTCCTCAAATACCAAGCATCAGTTGATTGCTTCTGATTCCCGATTAAAGCAAGCACCACTGTTGATGCAATTTGAATGACAAAAGTTCAAATGAAACAGCAGCATGGGTAGGCGAAGGAATTTATGGGTTTGAGAGTTTCTGTCTTTTACCACGAATTAGCAACTAGTCACGTGACCCGGTCCGTGACTGCGCAAGCACTCGTCCAAATTTCAAAATCTCATTCTCCTAACTTTTTCATACTCTCGAATCGGCCTTTTTAACGCGATAACTGTCGACATGGAGCTTGACGACGCGCCGGATACGGGCCAAGAGAAGCAGGATGTTCCAAAGAACATTTCTGCAACTCGAGACGCGTCCAACGCGTTTATCAACCCAGTCGGTCCCCAGGAACAGCCGAAATGGACTGGAACGACGCCCCCTCCCAAAACAATCCCTCCTCTCAAATTCGACAAATCTAGTATTTGTCAAGGTGTTTCTCAATCCCTCTCGATCCAGTCAGCGGACTTAGGACGGACACTCCTGGCACAATCGCAACAGACCAAGTGTCTGCGTTAACGGGGAGTCCTAGGACGAACCGCCTGCATGATCTTTTCCCAGGAGGAGCAGAAGCTCGATCTCTCAAAGAGATGGTTAGCAAACTCCTGGAAGTCGTCAAAGCCGGATTACCGCTTGCGAACAAATCAAAAATGGCGCAGAAAACATCGATTGATGTTGGAACTGCAGCAGACATCCTAGTTTTAACAGGAGCTGTGTACGATCAAGTCATGCTCGAGGATGCTCGTCGTAGCTTTACGACCCCAGCAGCTCTTGCTGGGTCTGAGCCAAAGAGTCGCCCCATTATATTCAAGGGAAAGGCAACCGACGACACATTAGCGGCGCTATCCGAGCAAATGGCCTACTTGACATCGGCAGTAGAAAACCTACAGCCAAAACAACCACAAAAGAAAGGACTCACGGTCCCTTCTTATGCATTAGCTGCATCCAAACATGCACCCAACACCACAACTGCTAGCCAAAACACAAATCAGGCTAGAACACAAACACCAAAGATGGCTTCAAAAGTCAGACCGACAAACATGATAACATTAGTGCATGAACCGGGGTCGGAGATTTCCCACCCAGGCCTGTCCAATGCAAACCTCATCAATAAGCTTAATCTGGTATTTAGAGCCTTCAAAATTAAGGTCAAACCCGACGATGAAAATTTTATTGAAATCAAAAGTGTGCGACGCCATCCATCGAACGATATTGATATATACTTTGAAACGGCTACACTTGCTACAAAGGTCAAAGAATTCTCCTGAACATGGATCCAATCGTTCTCAAGTACAATGAAAATGAAAGAATCTCGACATGAGATCATAGTGAATGGAATACCAACTACCTTTGATCCAAACGTCCAAGACCATGTCGAGGAGCTCCAGATTTGCAACGGAGAACTGCTCAAAGACATGCTGTTTGTACGATGGCTGAACCCCAAAATCCTAGATGACCCTGCCAAACGGCATTCATCAATATTGATAGGCTTAAAAAGCGACGAACAGGTACAAAAATGTGTCTCCAACAAGATATGGCATGGAAGGGGTAAACACCTTACCACACGAAGCGGCCCACCTCCACGTAGGTGCTACAACTGCCAAAAGACAGGCCACACTGCTCCATCTTGCCCGCTAGATCCTCTTTGTCCTTTCTGTGGAGATAAGCACCATTCGCACTGTTGCCCCAAAAAGGGGAAAACAGATATGAAATGCACTGCATGTGCCAGAAAGAAGTTGAAGCTTGAGCCGTTAACTAACCTCAAGACATTCCTTTCATCCAATCCGGCGGATTTGATTCACCACCCTTTTAGCCCAGGCTGCCCGACGAGAATACACTGGGAAAATGTAGTACAACCCAAGCGGATCTCCTAAGATCATCATCGTAGAAAACAACGATATGAACGAATCTAAATGATAGATTCTGCATGTGCATTAACACTGCATTTTTCTGCATTGATGCTGCATTTTTTTTCATTAATGGTGCATTAATGGTGCATTTTTATGCATTAACATAGCATTTTTAATTATTTTTGACATTAATTCTAATCATTTTGCATAGCCGAAAAATACTACATCTGTGCAGTGATAGCAGCTAGTCTTCCACCTCACAACCCAAGCGGATCTCCTAAGATCATCATCGTAGAAAACAACGATATGAACGAATCTAAATGATAGAACAACGCTTGAAAGAACTTTTGAACGCGCAAGACACGTCAACAATCTTACAGCTAAATTGTCACCGATCACCACATGTAATGCATTCACTCTTTAATCATGAAATCACTAATAAATTCTCTATCTTAGCACTTCAAGAACCACATGTAAATAGAATCGACTACCTTCCATCAAACCAGACAAACTGGACTCTTATCAGCCCAACCCCAGCCGCAAAAAACGAAGAATCACGCCCTAGAGCATGCCTATATATCCGAAAAGACCTCGAGGCATCCCTAAACCCAATCTTCTCACCATCACGAGACATAGCAACATGTACACTAACGATTAATGAATTCACCTTCCTCATCTCAAATGTTTACAATCAACCAGAGACATTCAAGGGGTTTGAGGCATGGGACGAACTTATGACGGGCTGTTATGATCCGTAGATGTCACGAGATCAGTACTTACATGTCATGGGTCGCGAGAATATCTCCGTCCCACAGTTGTACAGCGTTGAGCTTTTTCCCTCATACTGCAATCTTAGTTATCATCGCAAGAGTTCTGTTGCACTCTGTATAGTGCTGTCCGTAACATATTGCAGTATCTTTAAATCCCAAGAACTCAAGAAGATCTCAAACTTAATCTGAAGAAAGAAGAACGGTACAGATTGAATTAATTGAAACGTTAAAGTTAAAAAAAGTGAAGATCCTTGTGGAGAAGATCGACCAAACTTAAAGTACCCCGCAAGAAAGACACCAAGATACCGACATTCACAGTCGGCGAAGAAGAACAGGACAGCGAAGACTTTCGATCTGCGATTAGTCTAGAGATGTCTGAAGAAGCACAAGTGCCAAATATCGCACTACTTGTGCAGCAGGTGGCCGACCTAAACACCCGGCTTACAAATGAAACGAATCTACGCCAAGCCGCCGAACTCAGCAGGCAACAAGCAGAACTTCGATTAACTCAATTGGAGGCCAACTCGGCTGCCCAAACTGCTCAGAACCCGGCCCATCCACCTAATGTACAACCCACCTACGTACCAGTCCCACCGGCTCATAAGACACCAAAAGTAGCAACACCTGATAAATTTACCGGCACCGTTGGACTGTTAGCTGAAGGATTCATTAGTCAAATCACGCAATGTTTCCCACCGATAAATCTAAAGTCACTTTCGCTCTTTCTTACTTATCTGGAGAAGCGCTACGATGGGCCCAACCTACCTTAGGACTTGTTCTGAACCCAGAGACAGCAGACACAGTTACTTTCGAAAACTTTGTAAAGGCATTTAAAGGCGTATTCTTCGACCCCATGAGAAAGACTAGAGCTGAAAAAGAACTACGAGCATTGAAACAAACTGGAACGGTAGCTGATTATTCAATTAAATTCAATCAATGGGCTGCAGCCACGAAATGGGAAGTACCAATTCTTATTAGTCAGTATAAGCAAGGTTTGAAATTAGAAATTAGAATGGGAATGCTACAGAAGACATTCGAAGGTTTAGAAGATATCACAAATTTAGCAGCTGAAATTGACAATGAAATTCATGGTGAACGGATGGTGATTCATAATTCAAGTACAACACGTAACACCCCTGCTAGAGACCCGGACGCAATGGACCTATCAGCCGCACGGTTCCCTATTTCTGGCGAAGAGTATAGAAGAAGGGGTGAAGCGGGAGAATGTTATAAGTGTGGAGGAACAAATCATTACGCTAGAAACTGTGGAAAATTTAAGAAGTGGAAAGGAAAAGGGAAGAGTAGAGTAGCTGAATTAGAAGCAAGATTAGCTGAATTTGAAAGTAGGGGTAGTAGTAGTGGTGGAAATTCTCATGGTGAAGGAAGTGAAGCAGATCTGTCAAAAAATGGAGACGCTCGAGAGTGATGGATGTGTCCCACTCGAGCGTATTAGAGAGGAAAAAGGACTTATTTATGGTTGATGCTGGAAAACTTATTTGCAATTCAAATGATCCGCGTTTATTCGCCCCCATAACTTTGTCCGATCCCTTGTGCCCCACATCCAAAACTAATGCCAAAGCCTTGATAGACTGCGGTGCTACTCATGAAGTTCTCGGTGAGAGCTATGTTCGCAAACACCAAATCAAAACCAACCCCCTACCCGAAGCTAAAGATGTTTCAGGATTCGACGGAAAGAACCGAAAAATCACTGAAGACGCAAAATTATGCATTGATGATGAGAAAGTGCCTTCAAGATTCATTGTAACCAAACTCAAGGATTCATATGAAGCGATCCTCGGTATGCCTTGGATCAAACGAAACGGCAACAAGATCGACTGGAAGAAAGGAACCTTCAAGGAGATTCAAGATATTGCAACCGTCAAAGCGGTTTCGTCCGATCTGAAAAAACCCCAAGTCGAAATGGAGACAGTGGTTGGGGACGCTAAGAATCGTGACGAGGGGGTGTGTATCCATAGTGGTACTCTAGCACCCCCGCAATGTGAGTTCGATACTTACATTCCAGACCCACATGTTGAAACAGTTTGCAAGCTTAATGGCCCTATGAATAGCTCTAATGACAGTGACGGATCCACGGAATCATCGGCGCCGAAAACACCTTCTGGAGACCTGAGAGAGGTGATACGGGAGGACGCTAGGCAAGCTGATGAGGGGGTGTGTATTCCAAGGAGTACATTAACGCCCCCACAATGTGAGTTCGATACGTCAATTCATACCCTGTCTAATGAATCAGCTGGCGAGCTTGTACCTCTCCTGGATAACTGTAGAAATTCGATTTCAGCAGCAAAGGTGTCATGGTCGACGTCAGCCCGCATCGCCGCCGAAGCCAAGGCAAAGACTCAAGAGAAGAAAGTGGATGAATTGGTTCCCACACGCTATCACAAATACCTGCACCTCTTTAAGAAATCACAGGCGATGACTCTTCCGCCTCGCCGAAAATATGATTTTAAGGTTAAACTTATCCCAGGAGCCGTACCACAAGCTAGTAGAATAATCCCTCTATCACCAGCCGAGAATGACGTATTGGAGGAGATGATAAAAGAGGGATTGGCTAATAAAACAATAAGACACACGACTTCGCCATGGGCGGCCCCTGTGCTTTTTACGGGGAAAAAAGATGGCAAACTCCGACCATGTTTCGATTATCAAAAATTGAATGCTCTTACGGTTAAGCACAAATACCCGCTACCACTCACGATGGAGTTAGTAGACAGTTTATTGGACGCGAGGAAGTTTACTAAATTAGACTTGAGGAATGCTTATGGTAATCTGAGGGTAGCTGAAGAGGACGAGGATAAATTAGCATTCATTTGTCGATCTGGACAATTTGCACCTCGAACCATGCCGTTTGGGCCGACAGGAGCACCTGGACATTTTCAATATTTTATTCAAGATATCTTATTAGGACATATTGGAAAGGACACGGGTGCATTTTTAGATGATATCATGATTTATACTAAAGTAGGAGTCAATCACGAAGATGTTGTTGAAGAAATATTAAAGATTTTAGAGAAACACCAATTATGGATAAAGCCGGAGAAATGTGAATTTTCAAAGGATGAAGTAGAATATTTAGGACTTCTTATTTCAGAGAACAAAATCCGAATGGACCCGGCCAAAGTCAAGGCGGTGAAGGAATGGCCTGCACCAAAATCTGTCACGGAATTACAACGATTTGTAGGGTTTGCAAATTTCTATCGAAGGTTTATAAATCAATTCTCAAAGACGGCACGACCATTGCATGAACTTACATGTAAGGATGTCAAATTTGAATGGAACAAACGACGAAATAAATCTTTCGAAGATCTTAAAGAAGCTTTCACCACAGCGCCAATTCTACGAATAGCCGACCCCTATAGACCTTTCGTATTGGAGTGTGACTGCTCCGACTTCGCATTAGGGGCAGTGTTATCTCAAACGGCGGAAGATGGCCTATTACACCCAGTAGCTTACTTATCCAGATCCCTAATAGCGGCCGAAAAGAATTACGAAATATTCGATAAGGAGCTATTAGCGGTAGTTGCTTCCTTCAAAGAGTGGAGGCAGTATTTGGAAGGTAATCCAAACCGCCTCGACGTAATTGTGTATACAGATCACAAGAATCTGGAAAGTTTCATGACAAGCAAACAG